CTTACTCTGTATCCTAGGGGTGCCCCAAACTCACAGCAACCCTTCTGTCTGAGTCTCCCAACTGCTGGGATTACAATTACTGCTGGGATTGCCACCCTTCAGAGAGAAGAAAGTCTTTGCACATGTAACCCTCTTGACTTTGAAATTATACTTGAATAAAAATGTGATGAGATCTTAGATTGTTTGCCACTGATTTTGGAAAGAGTTAGGCGTTGCATAGCAGTACATTTAGGCCCAATACACAGTTTTGCTTAACAAAGGCCAGCTCCTTTTGCCCTTAGTTTTTAACTAGACTTTTTCAGCTTTTCCGTTTTCCTTCATGACTGTGCCAGAGAAGGCCTTACTGATCAGGGAAGGGCCAGATGCAGGAGCACCTCAGTGCCTGCGCCTGCTTTATGCCATGTCAGACACACAGTGCTGTGTTCAGAGTGGCCGTTTACCCGAGAGCTAGGTGCTGATATTTGTCTTGAAAGAGCTTGCAAACAAATTGGGTTGCCCCAGATTCAAAAAGGGCTTCACTAAGTGCTCTCTTTTACTATGGTAGAAAGTTCAAAATTATAACGCTGCTTTTGTTGTACATCCAGTTGTAACTTGTATGGGGCTGTGTTGCTCACACATGGCTTGCCCCTAAGAACCATAGCTTTGGCGTGGTGGTACATGCCTGTAATCCCAGCACTGCAGAGGCTGAGGCAGGAGAACTGTTGTGGGTTGGAGGCCAGCCTGGGTCACAGAGTGAGCTCAAGGCCAGCCTGAACTGCATAGCATGACCCTGTCTCAAAAAGACAAGACAAAAACTTTGTGTGCATGTGTATACACACACACACACACACACGAAAAAACTTTGTGTATGTGTATGAACACACACATACACACACACACAAAAGAAAAAACTGTGTGCATGTGTATACACACACACAAAAAAAAGAAAGAACTATAGCTTTATGACAAGGTTTGATGAGCATGCATCCTTTGGGAACTGTTCTTTAAAATTATTGTGACTGTTTCCTTACTTGGCACAGGAATTATTTAATTCACTTGTGAAGTTACATAGAAAAACAAAGCATAACAAGACAAACTTACTGAGTTTTGATCATAATTATTTAATTTTCATTATCTGATCAATTTATGATACTATAATTGCCTATTCATTGATGCAGAATCTATTTCAACATATTTAGGTCTTCACTGTGAGTTTTAGTACTAATAAAGACATGTAAAGAAATAACAAAAAAAGAAATACCAAAAAGATGGATTTTGTATGGGTGTCGTGTTTTCTTTTAGTGCTTGTTATTTTCAGTTTATTTTCAGCTTTTATTCATTTTTGTGGTACATAATGATTCCATCCCTTGTGCAATTTGCACATGTACAAAATCCATCTTTTTCTTCTTTTCTCTCTGTGTCTGTCTTAGTGCATCTAGGTTATGCAGCTCATTGAGTTTCATTGGGGGGGATCTGTCCATGCACATAACATACTTAATCACTTCCTCCCCTCACTTTCCTTCCCTGGTCCTCATATCTGGCTTCACTCTTTTGGGAGGAACCATTGTTTATAATGTATAAAATGAGATAAAATATGACGACTATTCAAATAAAAATAAAAATCATTGTAGTACGAGGTATGTTAATATCTTTTCTGATACTCTCCCTCTCTCTGAGCACACCCATTCCATCCTTCTTGTCACTTTCCAAAGCAGTTGTGGAAGTCGCATTCCATGAGAGCTTTTTCAAGGTTATCTCAGTCTGCTGCATTATTGAAAAGGTTATGGACATTTCTGTCCAATAAAAACATTTATGCGCACGCTCAGCTACCTACTCATAGGATCTGGCCTACTGGCAGTTTGGGGTCTTCCCAACAAGTCAAAATAACCATGCATTCAGGACCTCCAGCCACAGCAGCACAACTAAAAAGAGTCATAAAAAACAACTTTCAAACTGCTTCAGAAATGACGAGAATGAGGGGACTAACCTGTTTGACGTGAGAAAGGGGACTCTGAGGGACATTAATGACAGTGTGCCTTTTACTGTAATCCATCTTAATTTTTTCATTTCCTTCCCCACCATCTCTTGGTCTTCCTCTCATTTACAAAAGATCTCTCTACTTCCTGTTATCTTTTATTTTGTTATTTGCTTGCATTTTACTTACATAAGAAATCATGTGACATTGAAACCTGTATACCTGCTTTATTTCACTTAGAATTATAGTTTGAGGTGCACCTATTTTCCTACATATGACTCAAGTCTGTCCTTTTTTTTTTTCATTTATGTAATTGGTGCAGGTTCTCACTATACAGCTCAGACTCATAGTGATCCTCCTGCTTCCAGCCTCCCCAAGGCTGAGGTTAGAGGCATGCGCCACCATGCCTGGAAATGGCTGCTGGTTCAGTGCACCACAGGGGTGGGGCCAGCAAGGCATGCTGGTCCAGGGATCGATCCCTGGTCCCTGCACTTGCCAAAGCAGGCGCTTAGTCTGCTGAGCTATCTCACCAGCCCTTCTATCCCTCTTTATGGCAAAGCAGCACTCCATTGTATATAGATACTACATTTTCTTTATGAGGCCATGTACAGTTTCTTTCTATGGGAAAAGACCCTATAAATGTTACTTAAAATATGAAGAAGAGAGTTCAGTAATTAGAGAGGTACAATCTTTAATAGAAATATGTAGTATTGGGGCTGGAGGGATGGCTCAGTGGTCTAAAGCACCTACTTGGAACAAGCTTAGCAAACCACAGGGACCACGGTTCAATCCCCCAGCACCACATGCCAGCCAGCCCCGCCCCCTGGTGGGCTGAGCTTACCACACACACACACACACACACACACACACACAGACACTAAATAAAATGTAAAAAAAAAATTAAAAAAAAAAGAAAGAAATATGTAGTACTACAAAGATATCTTCAAATATTACAGATTTTTAATGTTTTGGGGTTTCAAATAATTTTCCTGATCAGTTTGAAATAATGTAAAATTTCCTCTGGAATTTCTTCTTAAACTCACAAATTACTTACAAGTCTGTTATTTCATTTTGAAATATTTGGGGGGATTTTACTCTTCTGTTCCTGTACCAGGGTTTGAACTCAGGACTATATATATGTAGTTTTTTCCCCAGTGCTGGGGATGTAGCCCAGCCCCTAGTTATTCAAGGGAAGATTGCTACTGCTGAGCCACACCCCCACCTCTCTCTCTCTCTCTCTCTCTCTCTCTCTCTCTCTCTCTCTCTCTCTCTCTCTATATATATATATATATATATATATATATTAGATTGAATTTTCTGTCCTTTTTCTCTGCTTCAGTGTTATGTTATTTCATGCACACATGAGCTTCAACTACTGCTTGGTGTAAAATTCACAGTGCTTGTTCTTTTCTTGGGGAAGTGTTCCTCAACTTGTAAAGTGTCACTTTGCAACATGCAGCCTAACATTTGGCTAAAGATTGGTGACATCCCTTATGCAGATTTTGGGAGTACCTGTGCTCCCAGTAGCTCCACAAACTCTCACCATCTTGGCCTCTTGCCCTGTGTCCTAACCTGAGGAAGAGCTCAGTCTTTGTCTAGGGGTTCTTCTCCCAGCCCCAAGAGTGATAAGTGTGTAGGCAGAAATCTGGGCATATTGTAGGGTTCTCTTCATGGCTACTGTCCCTCAAGGGATGGCAGGCATGTGTTGTGCACTGTGCTGTCTCTTCAAACAGGGATTTCATGTCATTTGTCTAGTTTTGCATCTGTTCCTGATAGGAAAGCTGTTCCCCTATCAGTGATCCCACAGCCTCTACATTTGTGTTGCTATTGTATCTTTCATATTTTCTAGATTTTTCTCTTGCATATATAGGAGCCAAATTAAGTTTGAAGTGCTGCACTTGGAGATAGCAACCTTAGTGAACTACAACTGTGAATCACTTAATGTTGGGAATATGTTCGACAGAAATGTGTCATCATGTGACTTGTCATTAGTAAACATCATTGTGTGTAGTTATGCAAACCTATGTGGGATAAACTACTCTATATTTGGGGTATATGTTCTAGATCTGTCTCTCTATCTCTGTTTGGAACCCCAAGGCTGATATTGTACTGGGGATTAAGCACAGGGCTGCTGTACTGAGATATCTCCCCAAGTTCTTTTTTTTCTTTTAATTTTGAGACAGAGACAGAGTCTCCATAAGTCATTAAGTTGTTCTGGCTGGACTGAAACTTGCCATCCTCCTGCTTCATCCTCCCAGAGTGCTGGGATAATAGGTGTGTACCAGCACACCTGGATACTTTTTCTCAACACATACATCTGAATGGCATTGACTTCTATGCTGGGGCTGTGGCCTTTAAGTGATATGAGAGTTTAACTACACAGCTTGAGGCAGAGAACTCTGATGATTTAAGGGCCATTGTCTCATATTCCCAGGCTACTTTTGCTGTCACCAGTGAACTTCAAGTCTTACCATTGGTGGCACGTACATGCTAAGTATGAAGCTTTCTTCTTGCAGCTTTATTTCCCTCAGTGTTCTTGAAGCCAGTAAAAATTAAATGAATTTAAAGGTATGGAATTAAACTCATGAATATTTGATTAGCGAGTTCAGTTGTCCGAGTTTACAAAATGTTTTCATAACTTCTACAGATACACTCATTTGTAATATCAAAAATATTTGTGGATCAATGCCACAATAAAGTGAGACTTCCATATCTGCACGACTTGGGGGGTATTGGTACTTACTGATATCTTATGTTGTAGCAGAAGTGGGCAGCAAAGATTTTGGAAGTGGGAAAAGGGATCAGGTGGAGGGGGAAGGGAGGGAAGGGGAAAGGGGGCCTGATATGATTGAGCTATGTTATATAGGTGCACCAGTCCCTAAAGCAAGGGCAGCTATTTATATATTGCAAACATTAATGAAAAATGAAATCAGTCTCCATTTCTTGAGGAAAAAGAGTTAAGTCATTGAAAATTTTGATTAATCTTACTACTTTCCTGTGATTTACCACAGAATACCTTCTTAATGTTGCTCTACTTTAATTTCAGAATTTATCCTTGTTTCACTGCATAATGGAGGAAGACGAAGGAAACAAGAGGTATGAATTCCTAACTGCTGACAGTAATGTCCCAGCCTGTGACCGTCCTGTTCCTATTTCTCATCTGGTGACTGATGTTAAGGGAATGGCCACTGGGTACCATACGGGGATACATGCTACGTGGAAAGCCCATTTTTGAGGCTGGGCTTGCCTAGGGCTCAAATTAATTTGCTTTAGAAAGGATAACTTATTTTTTCCAGATGAAACATCTAAAATAAATTCAAGTGCACTGATCAAAACTTTTTGTCGAAATTTTCAGTATGATCTGTGGTTTTTAAAGGTAAAAAAAAATCCATCAAGTGACATTTCGTGGCTGAGATGTCTCTCTGAGGAGTAGTGTTTGCTGTGAGAGAGCCTCCTGGGTAACTGCAGGTCACTGAGACATTTCCTAACCAGATCCACTCCAGTTAAAGCAAGTGAGAATCTATGGTGGCTCCACCTTTACATTTACATTGATTTGAACTGAATCAGTGATGTAATTCTTAGACCACTGTTCTAGGCTCCATACTGAGATTGTTCTGCAAGCCATGGGGACAGATACCAACTCTTCCATAAGGGACTCACAGTCTAAGACCAATCAAACTGGTTTTCATTTCTTGTTTTAATAGCAATAACAGGGGCCGGGGAGATGGCTCAGTGGAATAAGCGCTACCCTGGCAAGCGCAAGGGCCTGAGTTCAATCCCAGGTTCTGCAAAAAAAAAAAAAAAAGCAATAGGTTTTTGTCAGTTTTATTTTGAGACAGAGTCTCCCCAAGTTGCCCGGGACAGTCTGAAAGTTGAAGTCCTTGTGCCTTGGCTACTCCACAGCTGGAATTGTGGATCTGCAAACTGCACCTGTTGGTACAAGGTGTTATGATGCCATGGACTCAAGTGCTGGGCTTTTGATCAAGTATTGATAGAAGCATCTATTTTTCTCTCTTCTCATTCCCTACCTCCTATGGCTCTGCTGAATGAATTCCTAGCCATATCTTTGTCATTAATGGTCTTGATTGTTTTGTAAATTAGGAGTCAGCCTGCTAAATCGACACTTCTAACGAAGGAACACTATGATGAAGTGTTTGATCGAATTCGGTCCATGGTGCACCGTCACAGCTCTCGTAGAACAGATGACAAGGCACAGACGGCCCAGACCTCAACTGAGACCACAAGCGAGACTTCTGATACTGCAAGCTCTTCTTCGATGGCAAGCAAGGCCTCTTTTGCAGCCGTGGCAGGGGTCTCTTCTGTGATGCTGAGACAGCCCTCCTCTGTGATGATGAAACAAGGTTGGATTTGGGCAGTCAAGCCCATCTTACAGCTTGGTGCATGGCAACATTGGGACAAATAGGTCCTTCCCTCCCTCTCGGGTCATCTTGGGAAGGCATCAATGACTACAAGATCTCTTCCACTTAGAGAAACTTTTTATTTCACATACATTGTGCTCCTCTCCATTCCTGTTTATGTTCAGTGTAGCAGGCATCATGGGAGTTTGTGCAAAAGTGGAACATGGGAATGTGGGAAACACTGATGAAGTTTTGTGTCTTAGACACAGACATATAGTACGTGTTGCTCAGGCCATTATGGCCCCAAGCCTACAAACTGACACCTGTAATCCTCCAGGCAGTGGAGCTTTGCACGCAGGAGTACATCAGGCCCCCACACACTTAGTTGTGCGGAGGTGATCTTGACTCTTAAAATTAGGATTTTCTCAACTCCATGATACCTTTAGCTCCTACTGTATTTCTGAGCCCCCATTCACAGCCATGGTAATTAGTTGATAGGCCTTGTCTCCACTTCCTCACACCCATCCATTCTTCCCCACCCTGCAGTACCCAGGGCGGGGCTTCTAGCACTTCCCAATTCACTGTAGGACTTCTGTCAGGTGGTCTCCATTTGGCCAGCTTCTTTCCCCTCAGTGCCCACATCCTACTTGATATTTCAGATATATTCAACAGCACTGGGAATTGAGCCCATGATCTTCACACTGAGCTACATTGCCAGCCCAAACTTTGTATTTTGTATCTTGAAAGAGGAACTCACCGAGTTGCTAAGTTGTCCAGGTGGCCTCAGACTTGCAGTCCTCCTGCCTCATCCTCCCAGAGTGCACTCCCTGCTTCTCCAAACACCTCTCAGCATCTCAGGACCACATAATCCTTGGCTTTCTCTCCTAGCCCATTGTTTTTTACCTGTCTTTTTAATCCTGCCTCTTCTTACATTTCATCTTGCAAGCCTTGGCATGTCCCATACCTAAGCCTTTGGACATTTTCCCCCTTTTCCCTCTGTGCTCACTTCCCAAGTCGTCTTCATCAGTCCCTTGCTTTGATGGGCTGTCAGGACACTGCTGACCCCTACTTTTTAACCTGATGTCTAGCCCCGGTTTCTTACCTGAGCTCCATACCTGAGACTCACACTTATTATGGGATCATCAGGAGTTCCCTATGCAACTTCTTTACTTACTTATTTAATACAGAACCTACCAGGGCTATCAGGGAACTCATTAAATAAGTGTCCTGTTTTTATTCACCTGGAATTAATTTATTTTCTTTCCTTTTTGTTTGTATTTCAGGCTGGCCTCGAACTCACTCTGTAGGCCAGGTTGGCCTTAAACTGTGACAGTCTTAGTCTTCTTTTGTATCCTTCTCCAAACTATCAGCTAATCCTTTTGGCTTCTCCTTTAAACCAAATCTTCAGCCTGTTTTCTTACTGCTTGCACAGCCTCAGTGTTGTCATTCTCTGAGGCTACTGTCACTCCTTGCTGAGGATTTCTTTCTTTCCAAGTGACGAATAAGGAGTGCATCTATGTGTGTTGTGTAACATGTTCAGGAATCTGCTGACTCTGGTTAGTTAGCGTGTTTATGATCCTAGCTTACTATTTTTCTGGTGAGAACATTTTTGCAAGGTTCAGGCTTGCAATGTACTGTTGGCTGACTTTGGTTACTGTTAAGTTCAGTAGATCTCCTGAACTTCTTCCTCTCTACCTGAAATTCTGTATTATTTCACCAACAGCTCCCAGGGCCACATCTCCCACTTCTGAAGGAAGTTCCAGGTTAGATTTTCTGCTTGTTCACTCTTGCTCCATGCATTATTTTCGTTATCCAAAAGGCAGCTGTAATGATGTGTTAGAAATTCACCCTGTCACTCTCCTGCTTTAAAATACTTGATATTTCATTAAGAATTAAAAATCAACTGCTTGCCATATATCTTACCTGATATAACCCTTTCTGTTGCTGACTTTGCTACTACCTTCCCCTGTGTTCTTTGTACAACAGCCACTCTTTCTTTAAAATGGGTTTCACTTAGCCCTGACTGATCCCCCTGCTTGAGATGCTTTGATTCCGTGTTGTGATATGGCTGCCTGCTTGCCATTCAGATCTCTTCATAACATTTCTGTCCTGGTCAAGCTTTCCCAGATGACCAAGTTTTGTTCATGCATTATCTTGTGCCTCTCCCCTCTGTCTGCAGTGAGGTTCTGGGCTTTTCCACCCCAGCATGGTCTCCATCTGGCCCACTCTACCCCCAGGAGTGGAGCTGTGATGCATTGTCCCCAAGAAAGTGGAAGTCACCCTCCCGATGGCCCTCATCAGGGCAGTTTACACTTGTAGTAGGGTCAAAGTTTGATGCTAGGAGAGAGAATAGTTGCTCAGAAACATGAATATTATGCCATCTGAGAGTGCATCCTGTCTCCTAATGAAGGTAGTGGAGGAGGTGTGGTTGGGAGAGCCAGGAAGCCTTGCAGAAAAGAACAAGAGGGAAGATGAGAGGTAGCTGGTGGCTTCTCAGAGACACCAGGGAAGGCATGGAAATGCTGCACATAAAGACTCTTGCTGCAGACTTAGCTAGATGAAGCTGAAGAGTGGAATTGTGTGTTTTAGTCAGAGGATGAGGTCTTGGTCCATATAGAGTTCTTGACCATAACCTGGGGTATGAAAGATACTGAGTTTGGGTAGGATCCAAGAGAAGGAAAGAACTGAAAGTTAAAAAAAATCATAGCTATTGGATAAGACATCATGTATGGAGTAGAAATTTGGTTGAATGATCTTCAGGGTCTTCTTCAGTTTCCAACATTTCTATACTTGTGATCACTTCTAAGAACTGGTCTATGTTAGATTTTTCATTAGCACCCAGCAACATCTCATGAATCTTTTCTGTAAAATTAATTATACCTGAAGAAATTTAACAGCCATAGCTAATAATTTTCATATGATACCTTCCTATTTTTTCTTCCTTTTCTAGAAGGAAATGTCAATATGCCAGAGGTTATGAATAACTCAAATTGGGTTCCAGTGTTTCATGACCTTGAAGAAATGAACCAAATGATGCTGCAGGTAAGGGGGCGTTTGCTCTTTGATTACTTCTTATGGCGAGTACACACAGCAGAAGATAAAGAAAAGTGTTCTACTGTGTGCGACTGAGAGAAAACATCCATCAAAATCAGGTAAGGAGCTTGGTAAAATGCAGATTCGTAGGTGCCAACTTTAGCCCCTTGAGTGGTTTGAGTCATAAGCTCCTATGCATCAGGGTCCCGAGTCTGCATGTCTTGTGGGCTCCCTGGAAACTGCTTATCTCAGATGAGCTTTGAGAACCACTGATTTTAAGTGACAAAAGTATGACCAAGTTCTGGTAGAGGTTAGTGGGTGATTGATTGAATATTTCAACTCTAAAGAATAGGGATTCAAATCAGTCTTTCCCAAATGAGGTGAAAGGTTGATGATAGCTCCCATCTCCAAGAAAACTAGTTTTACTAAAGGTGAAAAGATACACACTGCCCTGACAGATGCTAGTCCTTTGACTCAGATAGGGACATGTATTTTGTTGCCTTTCTCACTTATCACTGGGCTTTGAGTGCTTTCCCTTCTCGAAGTTTTGATTTCTTTCTCTTTAAACTAGGTAAAGATATGTGCATTTCATAGAGCTGTAATGAGAATAAGACCGAGCAGATACTGTAGACTTTCTAGTGTAGAAGGCACAAGCTCAGGCTCTTCACAGATGGCTTTGGCTGTCCACCTGGCACTATGTTATCTTACCAGAGCCCAAGACAGGAACTGTGTAGGTTAACCTTCCCAAACCTACATGATACTAGAAGTAGAAAGTCATGGACTGTGGGTATGGGGAGTCATTTTTTGAATAAAGACGCTCCACAACGTATGATGAGATTACTTTTCAATAAAGCCATCATTAAATTGAAAATGTCTTAAGTACAAAATGTGTTTAATGGATTTTTCCCTACCAAACATCACAGCTTAGCCTAGCTGCAGTTAAAGGTATCCAGAACACTTCCATTAGCAAATCACTGTGTAGAATCACCTAACCCAGAGGCTATTTTAAAAGAAAGTGCTGAATATCTCATTCAATTTATCCAATACAGTGCTGAGCATGAAATAGTTTCCCTTTAATGCCTATCCCTTTTACACATGTATCAAGCTGAGAAACCCTAATTGAATCTTTGTAACCTGGGCACTCGTGGACTTTGTTTTACACCAATGTCCTGTGAGTGTGAACGCATCCTGCTTGTCCAGCAACACACTCCCCTGATTTCATGTCATTTAGCTTTGGTGCTGGGGATGAAACTGAGGGTCTGGGACCTGCTAGACAAGACAGTCTATGCCTGAGCTACAGGCCTGGCCTAACCTCACTCTTGTTAAGGAGATTTTGGTTTTAGGGATCATAGGCACAAATGTTTACTACAGAGAGGCCTCAAAATGTGTTACATGGAATCCTGTTACTAATCTTAAGAAAACTGATGTTTGTTTGAAATATTTTAGGAGTAGTTAGGAGTAAAGAATGTATGGTATTATATCTCAGGTAACTCTATCCCCTCCACTTCTGTCCTTCCTTTGGCTTTAGCAGCTTCCCTGGAAAAGCTTATTCTTTCCTCATTACAAATATGCTAGCTGAGGCTGCTCATCATGGCTGACTTCAAGCAAGGAGAGGGGCAGGAATAGGCTGCTTGTCATTAGCTTGTCATTTAGAGCACGGCTTTGGCCACCCTTGAAGTATGAAAGCAGGGTGTGCGGAGAGAGGAAGAGCAACATTTATTTCTTGGGCCCTGGGTAGGTCATGCTCTACTTAATGATGGTTATAGTTAAAGATTTTTCCACTTCATGGTACAGCAAAATTGATAAACCTTCAGGAGAAACCATATGTATTAGTTATTTTTCTTGTTGCTGGGACAAAATAGTCAATGCCCGAAAGTAAAGATGGAAAGGTTTAGTTAGCACACAGATGCATAGGTTCCAGTCCATAGTCACCTGGCACAGTGGCATGGCCGAGGAGCATCAAAGAGGAGAAATAGTCCATGGCAGGGCAGGCAAAAGGTAGCCACAGCAAGCAGTAAGTAACAGCAGCCACCTGCCTTCTTTCTATACCTTCATAGTCCATCCAGGCTACAGCCTGTTGACTAGTGTTACCCACACCATTGTCCATCCCCTTAACCCCCATATCACACCCTTTATCCACATTCAGCATCATGAACCAGCAACCTTCTAAACTCCCCACCTATGATCATATGAGGCTTTGGGGACATATCTAGACACAAGGCATAACACTTGCGGGTAGAACTGAGAGCCTTGTGTGTGTTAGGCAGGCACTCTCCTGCCCAGCCGCAACCCTGCTGTACTGTGAATTTTCATCTTTTCTCCAGCCAGAGTGACCTTGGGTGAGATACTCTTGCACTCACAGATTACCACAGCTCTGATTCAGCCACGGTCACAGAAATAAACTTAAAAGAATACATATAACTTACATTTATAGTTTAAATAGTGCAGGTCATGCTGATCTTAATAAATAGATCATTAACATCCTGGGAAGCCTCTTTCCCATAACCTTCCTCTTCCCCAATTCAGAATGATTGAATTCTGTTTCAATCATTTCTTGCCTTTTCTTTGTATTTCTGGGATGTGTATAAGTATCTCTAAATGGTGTAGTTTTGTTTTTCATGTTTTTGCCCTTTATTTAAATAGGATATTACATGTGTTCTTCTGTGACTTGATTTAAAAAAAAATTTATTAGTCCATGTTTCCATTTACTATGGAAAGCTGGAACATGTACACAACGCATTTTAGTTTTTTCCCATCCCCTATCTCTCTCATCCTTCCCTGTTCCTTCCAATTCTCAGTCCCCTTCCATTTGCAAAACTTTTATTTCCATTTTTCCAATTCTTCTTTCCCATCCCCTTTCCCTGCCCTCTCTGGCCCTCCCTCCAACTCTGTTCCTCCATTTTTTTGAAAGCATTTCTTTGGCAGCTCAGTCCATGATGTCATGCTGGACTAGTGCATTCATTTTACTTCTAAACTGTTGTGAGAGCATCCCATCCCCACAACTGTGCATCCATTCTGCTGTTGATGGACACTGAGGAGCTCTTTCAGCTCCTGCTCCCCAGAATGCTGAGATGGAAGCAGAGTTTACAGGCCCAAGTTTTAGGGGGTTGTGCAATCTCAGAACAGTGAGTGTGAGGGGAAAAAATAGAGGCAGGGAAAGAGGAAAATTGAAAATACAGTGGTTGCTTACCAAGTTGTATATGGATTCACAAGAACACAGAGCTAGGTGTCTGTCACTTGAGACACCTTCCACTTAAGCTATGTAAAGCCACAACTTGAGGAAGAGTAGGAAGAACAAAGGTGACCATTCTACCTTTTGCAGTATGGGACACTTGGGGAACTCAGCGGAATATGTGGCTTGCGCTGAAGTAGATGAAGGTGTGGGTCTTTTTGTTTGTTTGTTCATTTGTTTTGTTTTGTATTTTACGGTACTGGGGATCGAGCTCAGGACCTTGCACTTGCCAGGCAGGCGCTTATGCCACTGAGCTATATCCTTGGCCTGAGAGTGTGGTTTTTGTAAATCTAGGCACAGGAGATGGATGCTGTGGGTGACACTGGGAGGCTGCAGAAACCACCCCCAGCCCCACCCCGCTTGAATGAGGAGGACTGGGGTGGAGGTTTCCACAGTGAGGCTGGGGAAAGTGCAGATTTCCACTATAGTGAGAAGAGCTGTTTGGAACAGTTTTCTCCATATGCTCTGTTAGATATGAGCAAAAGCATTCTTAGATGAAGTTGCTGGAGGCCAGGTGGGGTAGTAGGATGGATGCCCTCTATGCAGTAATGACAAGTTATTTTACAGATTGTTGATTTTCAGCCTCAGTGGTAGTGGATGAAGCTTGTTTGCAAGGGGCTGTTTTGCTTTGATTTGTTTTCTATGCAGCTGAGGTTGGAACACGGCCAGTGCCAGGTGAGCACTGTGCTGCTGAGCTCGGGTCCCTGAATGCAAGTTCTTATTGTTGCATGTTTTGGTCACTCTAGTGGGAAGAGAATGGCATCTTCTTGTGTCAGGGGCATTTTCCTGGTTGCAAATGGCACACATTTTTGAGGCCTTCTGTATTTATCTCTTATGAGGTGGCTGGAGCCTTCCTCAATTTCTTCTTGGATTTTTCTTAGTTTTTACACTAACAATGTTTTAAGGGTGCCTTTTCATATGGTTCTTTATAACCATTTGTTTTCATGACCATTTTGTATTTCATTTTTCGTTATCATTGTAATACTACATATATGTGGGATACACAGTGATAGTTCCATATGTGTATACAATGTATAATTATCAAGTAAGGTAGCTTCCATGTTCTCAGGCATTTTTGCAGTTTTTTGATTGGGTGTGGGAATGTAGCTCAGGGGTCCAGTGTTTGCCTTGCTGGCCCAAGGCCCTTGGGCTCAATTCCCAGCACCACAGAAAATACTTTTTGAATACCACATAATGATTGTACTCATTCATGGAGCGCAGTGATATTTCAACACATTCATAATTTGCAGTGATTGTATGTTGGCTTTTAAATTTGATTCAGAGAGCTAATCACCTGCTAGCTTAGTATTGCAGATCTTTCCTCCTGTAGCTTGTTTTTTCACTTGGTTGATGGTGTCTTCTGGCAAACAGAAATTCTTTTCTAAATGTACACTAGTATAACCACTGTAGGAAATGGTAGAGGTTCCCCCAAATCCTGAAACTAGAAATCTCATTTGATCCAGCTATTCCCCTTCCACTTATCTTGACGAGAGGTCCTATTACAGTGATCCATGCATACTCACATTTAGGGGAGCACAACTCCTAATAACGAAGTCCTGAAAGCAGCCTATATATAGTTCATCACCAGATGAGTGGGTACAGTGGAGAGCTTATACACAGTGGACTGCTACTCCGCCATAAAGAGGGATAAAGTTCAGTCATTTGTAGGAAAACAGATTATCTCAAGCCCATCATGCTAGGTGAAAGAAATTAGATGTCCGAGCCTAAAGATCACAGAGTTTCTCTTGCATAAGAAACCCAAAATATAAATGAATAGCAGAATAAAAGATAAATAAAAGACATAGGGAGATGATAGGTCATCTTCAAATGGATTATCAAGAAATGGAGAGAAAGGAGAGGAAGAGGAGAGAGAAGGGAGGGAAGAGTGCAGCCGTGGTGCTTGGGTTTCCTGAAGCTGAAGATCAGGGTACTTCATGACTTGTGCAAAAGTTGCAGCCTGGATGGAATTGAGGTTTTGCCTCTTCTCTCCCTTCAGAGCTTTGACAGGACATATGCTAGACTCTCCAAGAAATTTAATTTATTTTATTTTCCACGCACAAGTCTTCTTGTTAACACTGAGTCTTCAGGTGTCATCTGGCTTAAAACTTTTACCAGCTGTATTGTAATGTGCTGCTTAGCGCATAGGTTGGTTTTCTTTCCCTTTCTTTCCTTACTCTTCTCCTCTGTTCCTCCTGTCCTCTCTTCGCCCTTTCTTCTCCCCTCTCCCTTCAGTCCCCTCCCCTCTTCTCTCCTCTCTTCTCTCTTCCTTCCCTTCCCCTCCCCTGCCCTCTTTTCCTCTTTTTTTCCTTTCAGCACATTGTACCACTGAGCTGCTTCTCCAGGCCCTAAGCTTTTATTTCTAATAACAATGTCATTTGTAGACATCTGTTTATGTTTTCATCTCTCTGACTAGTTTTAAGATTCTTGTTCTTCAGATTCAATATCCTTTCTTATTTATTTACATATTTAAGCATATTATATTTACTTTATATTCTGTATCTGATGATTCCAGTATCTCCTTTTCTGAATTCTGATTTTGCATTTTATTTTTGTTATAGCCTCTCATCTGTAATGGTTCTTTCATCCCTTCTTATGTTTATTATTTTTTTACTGTTTATTTTTTTTACTGTTTTTAAGCTCATATTGTTTGTAACTTTAGCTGCATGAACCATTTCCGCTCTTGTTTTGAAGTAATTCTCTGAAGCTTTCTTGGATTGTTTCCTCAGACACAGCCAGGGTCAGAGCGACTAAAAACTATATAGAAGAATTGATAGTTGGGTCGTATCTGTATTTCAGCTCCACGTGTGTGTGAATGTGGTCTTCTGTGCAGTGTTTCCTAAGAGTGATGACTGTCTCCTTCCCTACTCTTAGCTGGAGCTGAGGCAGGGATACATGTTCCTTGCCTCTTGTTGCTGGACAAGGCGTTTCTATTTCATCTGCTGAAACTGTCACCCTTTGGGGACCAGGCTTTCTACCATGTTCCCTGATGTGTCCTCCCACTTGACACAAGCTCAGGCTTTGTTTTTGTCCTCCACTTTCTAGGTCATCAGTATTGAGTGGATGTTTCAAACCAAGCACCAGTTCCAGTATGTCCTCATATCTGAATTCCCAGTGATCGGGACATCTCTCCAATCAGACTGCTTCACTCTCTAAACATAAGCTTGGTCCAACTTAGAAAACTTAAGTTTTTACATTATTTATCATTTTAGAAGTTCTCTACCAAGAGGCATGGTTATCAAATCCATTTAGAGCAGGGAGGCCATGACAGTATTCATATTTATAAGTAGATGACTCACCGTAAATAAAAGTGCCCTTAAGTATTCTTAGCATTTTTGAAATGAAGTCTGCTTAAAATGAAACACCCTCTACATGGAAATGAATTTTCCCGGCTTGTGTTGGAGAAGGCTGTGTTAATTGACTGTACATTGAAATTTGTGTTGTCTAAGTGACATAGCATTTGATAAACATCTCATGCTTAAGGTTAAGTAGATTCCATGTGGGAGTCAAAATAATGGAATTTTAATTGCGTATGTGCCCATTTTATTATTATGTGGGAAATACAATATGTTTTCAGTATTTATTCTAATTACACATTTAGAAAGAAAGCTATCGTTTTATTATTGTTGCACTGTTTAACTATATTATTACTTTCTCTTCACTAGGCATTAGACTCCACTATGATTGTGCTCAATACAGAGGGAGTGATCTTTTTCGTGACTGAAAACATCACAACTCTCCTTGGCTACTTAGCCGTAAGTCCGTCTGGTGTTTGGGTTTGTTGTGCAGAGGTTATTATTTCCTTCTAGGGCACATAACATACCAAAGAAAATGTTCTCAGTGTTGCTCCAAAATGTGCTCCTGTTTTATTGTTATCCGCATTGGTTTCAATTTTCAATCTATAGGCAAGATAATGAAGCATAGTTTCATGCTCTGAAAGTGGCCCTTGTAGGCAGTCTCTAAAGAAGTGGGTGCTTTTTGAAATAGCAGTCACTCAGAATCAGTGGAGCAGGTCCAAAGGGACCACCCTGAGAAGAGACATCCCTCACTGCGATGGGTGTGCCATGGGGTAGTGTTTGATTTTGTATATTTTAGAGTTGGTTATATAGTGATTAAATAAAGAAAGCCATGTCTTGTTTACCCATAGGGATTCTGGGTGAACAAGCACTCAGTCTACAGCTGTGCCTTCAAGTTTCACTTACACATGTGCATGAAGGCCTTGTAGACTATATCCATTGCAGACGACCCTCTCCTACAATGTCTGTGTCTCTAAAAGCGTTACATTAATCTTTTTTTTTATTTTTTAAAGAGGACACAAAATGGTAGTAGCATTAGAAATGATACAGAATTTCATTAAACAAAATAATAGGAATTTGACAATGGTAGTATTTTATAATGTTATCGTCAAATAAGGTGAGTTTTTTTGGTGGGGGGACTGGGAATTGAACTTGGGACATTGCACTTGGGAGGCAGGTACCTGTGTTGCTGAGCTATATCTTATTTGGGAGGTGGTTTTCTTTTTACAACTATTCCTCCACGGCGTTTTCCTGAGAATGGAACAAATCCTAAACTAGACAGCCATAGGACTCAATTTTTAAATATAAAAGTGAACAGAAAGTTGGTTTCACATTATTGTAGTTGTGATGGAAGTGGATTCAAAGCTTACTCTATGAACATCTTGGAATTTCCATCTTGGAAAATTATAATGTATTTTCTACACTTCTATTATAATTTATAATAATTTATAGGTACTGGCATCTATTTCTTTCTCATTCTTTAGCTTTCTTTAAAATGTAGTTTACATTTTTCAAATTAAACTTATACTTGTAGAATGGTAAGACAGCTAAATAAATTGCAATTAGAGATAATTACTGAATTGGGCTTGAGAATATTTATATTGTAGAAGAGGAAGGGTGTTAGTACATCTGTATTAAAGATAGAATGTGATAATGATCCAGTATAGTTTAAATTTTATTATAATGAGGATCAGAAAACTCCCAAAATTTTGTGGCAGCTGGTACTGCCTGAAGCAAATACTGTGTTAACTGAGATCAGTAACTTTTTCTTATCACATGAGAATTTCTCATAGTAATGATGTTAGTTAAAATATTGTCTTGATTTTTCTCAATATTTGGTTCAAATTTTCACTTTCAATCTTCTATCCTTCAGCATTTGAGATACAGCACACACATAGACACATAGTCACAGTCACTCTAAGAAATGATATCTAGGACATCTACCCTGAACTACTAACCTTGAAACATAGACTTGATTATCTGATATAGGTATATTTAAAACTAAAGATGTAATGATTAGATTTGTACATAAACATTAAATGGGAATAAAGTTATGCATTCTTAAGACAGGGTTAACTTGAGTGCCATTTCATGTCTTCCTGTTAAACTCTTAACAATCCTTAATTTTTTAACAGGAATTTCTGGGTTTTGGTCAAGACTTCATTTTGTGATTTTCCCATCTTATATTAATATGGTATACCAAATCATTTCTCAAGTATCTCCCTGGCTCCAAGAATCAACAGTTTCATTAAATGTCTAAGTGCCTCTGTCTGAAGGGCAACTCTAAATACATAATCTTAAAAATTAAAACTGAGCTTCTTGTTTCAGTAGGTTGTTGAGCTTTAGTTCCTTATCTGGAAGGGAGGAAGAGTTATGACTTTGCCAGTGCTGGGAGGCAAGCTGTGGTAGTGCACTCTGGGAAGGCCTGTCTGGTTAGGTGATGTTTGAGCACAGACCCGAGTGGAGCGAGTGCGTGTTTCATGCAGCATTGGTGTAAGTGTGTTCTAGAGAGAAGACAGGGCATGTAGAGGTCTGAGCATGATGGGTTTGGTATGGAAAAGTTTCAGCAACAAGGCCAGTGTGACTGGAGTATGGTGAGCAAAAGGAGGAGAACGAGATGAAGAGACTAGAAGAGTGGTGTTTCAGTTACTTTTCCTGGTGTTGAGACAAAATAATGCCCAAAGTTAAAGGAGGAAAGGTTATAGAAGTTCAAAGTTTGTAGTAGTCTCAGTCCAGTTTTGGCTTTTTTTTTTTTTTTTTTTTTTTT